GTCTCACAAAAACAAAGATTAAAATGTTAATTTTTATCTCTAGGACTTTTATGATGCTATCTGGCAAGAAACAGGATTTGATGTTACAAGTACACAACTGCACTGATCCTTTACCACTCTGTGTGAATGTCTCTGATAGCAAAGGGACATGGCATGCATTTGCATGTGTGGAATTGGGGCCCAACAACTTAGGTCCTGCTGAGGTCAAGGCACTGAGATCCAGACAAACACTGATTTGGAAAATTTACAGTATAGAGGATGGTTGTAGAAAGGGAAAGTGCACTGACCAATCCAAAGGAACCAACTCCTTTTTTAAATCTCTTAATCTGCTTTTCATTATCTCTGTGGGGAGGCCTCTTGAGAAAAGCAGCTCTTTGACTTGAATGAAGGAGGGGCTGTGGGCTTGCATGCTGGAATGGGGAGGTCATTGTACGGCAGCTCGGAAGATAGGAGTGTCAGTCAGGTCAAGGAGAACAGGATGAAAAAGTGTGAGATCTGTGTTACAGGCTTGGTCTGGATTATGAAAGGTAGAAGGTTTAAAGCTGAAAGGTAAATAAGAGAGAGTGAATTCAAAGGTGGGAAAGACACATTCCGGTAGGGTTATTCAGGCTGACTGTAAGGGAAAATATGAGCCAGGACTGATAAGATCATCAGCAAAACCAGCAAGAAAGAGGTAACGACAGCAGAGGCCCGAGGGGGCTAAATTCTACACGGGAATTTTAAGCATCAGGCAAATGAACATATCCATCTTCAGTATTTTTCATTTGCTCTTTTAACAGAAATGCTTAGCTCTGCTCACCTCCTCTGAGGCAGAGAAAGCACGAATATGCCTGGGGATGATGGGACAATGTTGCATTTTGCCGGCACCAAGTCATATACAGCTGTGCATATGCTGGCTGTAACCTGCTCCTCTCCAAACCAGTACTTACCGTAAGGAGCCTCAGCCTCACAAAATTGCTAAGGAAAGTTACATTGCTGCCATTAAAATGGCCCTTGGAAGTAGCACATTTTTCTCCTTTTTAGAATACAAAGGTAAAAATTCTTCTAAAATGTTTCTTTAATGGACACAAACTGAAAGGTATCTGCTTTTCAGGGACCTCCTGTCTTTCCAGTACTCCTGTAACACTGCTTGACTTCACCAAGAATTTTGTGATATACAAGAAGTGCGGGAACAGGTCTACAAAATCTGGGATGGGGTGGAGGAGAGCCTCCCCAGTCACTTGCATTTCTTGTCTTGCTTCTTGATAGGTGCATAAAAGCAGTGGTGGCAGATTTAGGGCTTTTATTGACAGTAACACAACATTTGGTGTTTTCTTAAAGACCTAACTCTGAGAGGCAGATAATGACATAAGATTGTTGGCTTTCTGCATTTCTGATTACAGACAGGAACTTGCAAACCCTACAGCCTAAAAAATCCTGGAGACCAAGAATAACTCTAAATGCATAGTTTTAAAGCCTGTCATTCATAAAATCAAACTGATTCATTTGGAGGCACAACAGGTTACTTAAATACAGCACTGATGATTCTGCAGTAAAATCTCAGTCTTTCTCATATCAGCTGGAGCTAACAGGTGTGTTTGTAACACTAGAGACTCCTTTTTTTCCCTCCCTCTGTATTTCTCAAAGACCAAATCAATTTGCTTTTTTTAGCTACATTCACCTTTTTTTTTTTTGGTTGGGCACATAGCCTGAACACTCCCTGCCCTCCCTCTGCTTGATCCTGCCTTGGCCAGAACCTTGTGGCTTTCTCCCCATGTGCTCCTCCACTGCCCCAGTCTCGCTTTGTGCAGCTTGTCCCGTTTCACATAAGCTCCATCTGCTGGGAAAAGGGAGAACCTCGGTGGTTTTCATTCTGAACTGCAAATGCTTTTCCCTCAATTTGGAAAGATTTTCAAAATTACCTGTTTCTGCTCCCCCAGCTGTGCTCTTGCCAACCTGCATGGCAAATTTAACTAATGACAACCTAATATGTTATTTGTATGGCATTTTGTGTTGCTAATTTGGGCCAAGCCTAAGCAATCTTTTAAAATACCACTTTTTGACTTGAATTTGAGCAGGTAGTTAATTATCCTTGGATGGGGAAAGACTGTTTGCAGCACGTTATTGCCATCCAGGCACTCTCTACATGGCTTTTCAGGGCAGTGTTTGAAGAGGCACCCAGGGCAGCCTGTTTCTGTGCTAATGTGTAGCCAGTGCTGCTTGTTTTTGGCACATTTACTGACAGGAATGAACTTGTGACCTGGACGTACATACAGCAAATCTGTAATCCAGCCACCACTTGAACTTTTACCTTTGGGTGTAACATTGACAGAGCAACAGGCTTCAGTATCCCATGAATCCCTCCTAAAAATCCCTGATAATGAATGGAAGTATTTTCTTTAAAAAACTACTAATAATCTGTTGGCTTTCTCCCTGGAGTAGAAACTTAATGCAACTTGCTACACAGTAATGTTCCCCCCCCCTTTCTTCACATTTACGCTGAACATTGGTGAATAAAGATGAGGTTAATCCCTTATTGTTAAACCTATTCAAGGAGACAACCTGGGGTTGCCATGGAAACAGATTCTACAGCCTAAAAGCATAATTCTGCTCTGAAGGACTGTCTCTGGGCCTGTAGTGATACGTAGCTTATTGAGTCACACTGTGTACACAAACACGATGTTGCAGCAGTGAAATGGCAAAGGTGCCTCCCAGCTCATCAGATGTTAATTACCCCCCCCACCTCCTCCCACTTACAGCCCAGAGCATCAAGCACTGCACCCCCTCCCCCTCCTGAATCCCATCTCCGGCCCTTCCTGCCAGCTCCGCTTGTCCTCAGGGTGTACTGGGGAACAGCCCGTGTCTGTGGCTCCAGCAGGAGTGTCACAGATTTGGCACTGTCACAAGCTACGGGGCACCTCAAGCTGGGAGTGGGGGGAGCTGCTATCCATCCTCAAAAACATCTACAGGATCTAGGAGAGCTTCCTGGGCCGTGTCTTCAGGGAAGGGGTGACAAACTTACAGTTCTCCTCCTTGGTCGTATAAACATTTGCCCCTCAATTTCTAGATAGATTTCTAAACTTCCTCAGTAAGAATTATAGATTCATCTGCTCCTTTGTCATGTCTATGCAGGCAATGCAGAGCCCTAGGGTTGTTCTGTGCTTTTATAGGTCTTATGCATCATACCTCTTTCAGACAAGTGAAACAGTCCTGCCTTTGTGATATCACTGGGCTCTGCTCACACAGCAATAAAATACATATTTCAGTACTCACACAGCCTATAAAAACCATCAAAATTTCCTTTTATTTGAAGGTTGTTTTGAATTGGCTTAGACAACTCCTACCTTGCTTTTGCTTCTATTTTATATCCAGGGGGAAAAATTATATTTAATGTAAAATAGTAATCTTAGTTTTGTTCAAATATTACATTTATTTGAATGATTCTCAGAATCCCTATTACATCCATCTAGAAAGAAGGCTTTTTATTTCTTCCTTTTAGTCTCTCTCATCCTGTTCCTGCTGGAAAACTGATTTTTCAGCAAGATGGCTGACGACTTTTCCAGACAACATGTTGCCTTAAGAACCAGGTCTAAAATGGCTGTGTAGCAGTTGATTTTTTTTTTTTAACAAAACCCCAAAAACCTAGTAACTATGTGGTATCATGTTTTATCCTGGGGATAAGTGTTTTCTCTGTGAGATCATGGCTGTTGCTCTGGCTGGAGTAGAAAATGTTTTTCTTTAAAACAAAAACTAACTCCTGTGGAAGGCCCATGTGCCACCTACCGTCAACTCAGCGTTTTCCTGTGGGAGCAATTTGTACAAATACTTGAAGATTTTTAATTCTTAGTCTTTCCTTAAGCATTACTTCACAATGCTTGGTAAATTAACACAATCAATTACTATTTTTAAACTGTATGTATCTATTTAGGAAATTTTCACAGAGTGTATAATCAATCCTTTTCATATACAGTAGCAAACCCTGTAACTTCCAGGTATAAACAAATCTGGAACAAAAGACTGTACAAAAACATAACGAATTCAGCTCTGAAAAGGCCCATGCATCTACATTGTCTGCCACCCTGAATACTAATGAATTTAATGAAACTATTGAAAGGCTGGTTACTTGTCTGCATAAATGTATTGAGACCTCTGTAATCATCTGTTTGCTGTCTGAAACCTCTTGTCAATAGTTTAATGACTTCAGAGCATATTATTCTTCTTGTATAGGCTTCATATAATGTTTCTACATAATTAAGCAGCTTTGTTAGAGGAACTGCCATTAGTTGCCCCATTTCATTTGGTTTTGTTATCAGCCAACCAGAAAGAATAAAAGAATAACAAGAGAAAGATACAAACGCAGTCTAGTGAGAGATGTGTAGATTGGGAAGATGTTGTTTGGTTGGTTTTTTTTATGCCATTAACATAAAGCACTATTGTGAAGTTGCACATTTTAAACAATTTTAACCATTTAAATGCAGTACATATTTAAATACTTGCAAAACAAACACAGCTGGCTAAAAATCTTGCAGTGCATTTGGGAGTCTAACATTTTAAAAGCAGCTCTAATAAGTATATAAATAGTAATAACAATTTGTTAATTATCACTGAACATAAACAACAGTAGCATTTCTATAGCCATAGTGAGAAAAGTGTTGTGACTTTTTTTTAATATTCAGATAATTGCATAGTCCATCTTGACGAATACTTTTGAATTTAAAATATAAGTAGTATAAATTTAATCTACATTTTTTGTACTTTGAAGAAACCCTGAGCATCTTTAAATACATAAAAGAGCTCCATAAAATTACCAACTAATTTCCTGCATTTGCCTAGTCCTAAGCATGAACACATTAACTGCAAACTCACTTGCTTTTTATTGCTACGAGACACTGTTTTCAGTCACGTTTTGGGTCAAACCTGAACGCTTCTGCTACCCCTTATGTATAAGGTTAGGTAACATGTATTTTCCTTGGGGTTGAGGCAGGTGTGGAGGTGACCAAGTGCCTGGTGTTGTGAGTTACCTGTGAGGTAGGAGAGGTCTGATCCCACAGCTCCCTTGTCCCCCTGGAGCCCTGTCCTTGGGGCAGCCATCTTGTTGGCAGGGCTGGCAGCCATCTTGTCCACAGAGAGTCCCAGCAGTTTTTCCATTTTTTCTGGAACAAGGAAGGCATTAACACCCAAACCTCACGTACACAGTTTGTAAAATGTCACTGTTCTCGGATTAAATTATAATTTTTGCAGTTTGATTCCTGTTATTCACTGCAAATGCCAATACAGTAAAAAATAAATTAAGTACATAATACTGCATTAACTGAGTACTGAAATATTTGGTATGAAATCCTACTGCTGGCCAGGACTCGACTAGCACGTGGAGAATATCATACTGCTTGTAGTCCAACTATTAACCAGAACTAGTGTGGAACATTTGACAAATGACCGATTTATGTGCCATTTCCTATCAAAACCACCACAGCTCCCCCAGAAAGCCGTTTTTTCTGTCACACCCCGAGATCCACAAGCAACACACGTGTGTGCAGCAGAACGCCTGCCGCCAACCCTGGCGTGCGGGAACACGGCCGCACCCACCGCAGGATCACGGGGCCGTCAGGGCTGGAAGAGACCTCTGGGCATCACCCGATCCAACCTCAGCCAAAGAGGAAAGCACCGTGCGCTGCTGGAGCGCTGTACTTTGCGCCGGGGTTATGTGTGGCCACGGCGCTCCGGGCCGCTCCGTGAGGCACCGGCGCCCGCCCTTCGCAGCGGGCACGGCCTGTGGCTTTCCCGGCGTGACGGGGACCGTGGGCTGCGAGCGAGCCACGGGGAAAGAAACCCCGGCATTAGGACAGCCCCCGATACCCATCGCAGCTCTTGCCGGTCCCCTCAGGCGGCTGTGGGGAAGAACCACAGCCGCGCCCGCCCCTCGGTGACGCCATCCCCGCCGCCCTCACCGTGCGCTCCGGACTACGGCTCCCGACGTGCCCGGCGCCGCGGGGCGGTGCCGGGGAAACGCGGCTCCCGGGCGCTGCTGGGCGTGTGGGGATCGCCGCGGCCCGGGCGGTGGGACAGGAGCGGGGCCGGAGCCGCCCGCCCTCCCGCCGAGCGCCGCTATGGCGTCCATGCTGCTGCAGAGCTGCGGGCGGCGCGCCTGCCGCCTGCCCCGAGCGCTGCGCCGCCCGCCACGGCCCGGTGAGGCTCCCCGCGGGCCGCCCGCCGGGCCTGGCCGGGAGGGTGACGGGGAGGGAGAGCGGCCGGAGGCATCTGGGGGCTCCGGGCGTGGGCGGAGAGGCCGCTGCGGGAGGAAAGGGCCGCGGCCGAGTCCCCGCCGCTCTGTCCGCCGGGGCTGGCGCTGCTCCCGGCACGGCCCACGCTCGGCGGCTGCTGCGGCCTCTTCGCATGTGCTTCCGCGGCAGCGTGGTTGGAGGGGATGATTTACCCTAAGGGCAGTGGGACACGCGTGTCTCCTAAATGCCGGCTGGTTGGGGAATGGAGAAACACGTGTTTTTTTGTTAAAGTCTAGGAACGCGTTACTACGTCTCGGTCCTGCCTGCCTTGCTCTCGGCGGGGCTTGGGTGTGAAGTGGGGTTGTCACTAGTCATGTACTTCTTCTCTTTATGAAAGCACAAGGGATGTTTTCTTAGTCTGTGTTAGGGACGAAACATGAATTTGCCTTTTTCCAAGTGGCTTTGAACGCTTAGGAAAACAAAAAGGAAGTGCATCGTGTGATACTGATTAATAATGGAGATAATTTGGCAGTTTAAATATCTCTGGTTGGTGAAGCTTTATGGCATGAAACAACTGACAACTTGTGAGGATAACTGCGAGGCCTGTGGCTGCTCTTTTCATCCTGAGCTGGAATGGCAGGGGGTGAGCGAGGAATTGCCTGTCTCTGACACAGAGCCCTGAGCTGGAATGGGGTGAGCGAGAAATTGTCTGTCTCTGACACAGGGCCCTGAGCTGGAATGGGGTGAGCGAGGAATTGCCTGTCTCTGACACAGGGCCCTGAGCTGGAATGGGATGAGTGAGGAATTGCCTGTCTCTGACACAGAGCCCAACTTGTCATGGGAGTGCTGTCACTGAGAGCAGGGCAGCTGCACGCTCACATCCAGGCAGACCTGATGAGCTGTAGGGATGCTTGTTCATTGCAAAGAACAGCTGTCCTCTTGGTTACCAATAGTCACTCAAGTGTGGTATCTTCCTCTGACTGATGGGTTTTGTGAGCTCCTGTTGTAGAGTCTTTTATTTAGGTTAAGCCTGGACAGTGTCCTGAACAAAAACCTGGGGTATCCTAACTACATAGTTTATTTAAAATGGGGAGAAGGCGCATCCATGTACCTTCAAATTAGGTGGGAGCTTTGATTGTTCTTGTGACATAGCATAAAAAGTACTGCTAATGATTGCTGCAATTTTGGTTGTTATAAATCTTAGACAATCTAAGCTGAAATGCTGTGATAGAATCAGGTAATTGGTGTGCTGTGGTGCATTGTGGTTATGATACAATACTTTTATTTGGGGTGTTAATCTATTGTTAATCTATTATTAACACATTATTCTATGCTGTATTTTTTTTCTGTATTGTTTTGCTTTACTCAGCTCATCTTCTTTGCTTTACATGTAAGTAGTCTAAGATTAAGTTAAAGCTAAGTGCTTCTAAGAATCCTAAATGTTATTCCTGTGGCGATCAGACTGTTAAGTACTGCAGGCTTACACTTCTCTAGGGACTTATTTCATGATAGCATTTTATTTTTGAAATTTCTAAACATAGTAACAGTATGGCTATTCTACATTAAAAACTTTGGGTTTGATGCTTCATTAAACTAAAGTATGAGGTTTCCCGTGACTACTTTTCCATGAGGAACATGTTAACATACAGCTTTTCTGGCATTACTGCCCTTCTTTCTTACTAAGCCAATTCTTAAATGAGCAGTGTTGAGTATGGTTAAGCAACATTCACCTCATTCAGATGCTTTTGGATGTCTGTATTATCCCAGAAGCAACGATTATGGACTTCGCCCCTTTTTGAAGGAAGTACGTCTTTTATTTCCGGGCTGGTTTACTCCTAGGTACATGGTTATAACAGAAACTGCAAAACCTAAAGAGCTCTTTTCAGAACTGGCAGAGTTGGAATTAACATTTTCTGTTAGCCTGTTCGTGCTGTACAACAAGAAGCTTAGCATGTTTTCTTATGGTAACCTTGGAATTTTGTTCTTTGACCCCTTCCTTAACATTTAATGAGCCTAGTTGGAAAGAAGGTAAGTAAAGTGGAAGTGAGAATCTCCAAGCCAGTTTTGAGTTCCAGATCATCCCTCCTAGTTCTAGGGGCACTGTCCATAGCAGGCAATGTCCTCTCCTGGTAGGACCCTTGCTTTAGGCGCATCAGGCTTTGTGGGCCTCCTGGCACTTGGGTGAGACAGATTACTGTGCTGTGACTTATCCCTCCAGACACTGAGTACTTCTCTGCTTTGCTCAGCTGCTCCTTGAGGTCGGGGATTCCTTCTGGGCTGGTCTCTTGGGTTAAGTAATTTAGCTACTGTTCTTTCTGTAAATGATGGCAAGTATCACAATGCCTTCACAGATTCTCAGGGCTTGCTTTTTGAGCCAGAAATAGACAGTTTTTCCCTGGCCCTGCGTGCCATGACAGTGAGTGTTAGAGTTTGATACAACTTGGCGTGGGTAAATCCTTTGATTTAATAATGCCACAGCTTTTGTTGTAATTTCTTCAGAGCCCACTTAGCATGGGACATGCCTTGATTATCAAGATTTTCCTCAGATAAGTTCACTTACCTTCTATACCTTCCGATTGTCCCATCTGATTTTGGCAGCATCTCTTTTCCCTAATAATCAGGGTATTTTGTTGGGGAGGGCTTTTGGCCATCAGCATTGGGAGCTTTGTTTTCTCAGATACAGTTGTCTACTTTAGATTCTGTCATAGGCCATATCTTGGTTTTGGTGGTAGGAAAGGGTACCATGGACCTCTCAAATGACCTTTGTATCCTGGTGTCTCTTAGGATTGACCAGAAATGGTAGGTTACACATGGGAGAAGCAAACCACAGTATGCCTACTCTCTCCAGCCTTTCAATTTTATTTTGGTTACAGTGAATTCTGAAAAGATTGGCCAAAGAGAGTCAACATGTTTGAAGTCTTTCTTGTGTGATTTTTTTAATGATCTCTCCGGGAGTCTTTTTGCTCTTGCCAGTAGCTACCTATTGAGTTACTGTAGCAAGGTGCTAATACAAGATTTATTTTTTTTAAGTTGCTTTAGGAAGCTGAATTTCTTTCTAGTGGGATCAGGGATGACTTTCAGTGATTGTAGATTGGTAGCATTTTATGTTGTTGATGCTTCTTCTGTGGTTGGAAGACTTTCAGACATGGCCCTTTACTGAAGCACGTGACTTGGATGATTTATGATTTGATGATCTTCCCAGTTTATTTCCAGAATGGATGCTGTTTGTGTACCTGGATAGAGGGTGCTCATAGCCCTTCTTTTGGACCTTATTAGGACTGATTCTGAGGTAGTCTGTCAAATAAAATGAATGTTGAGGGATACAGTGTTTTCTGGAAAGTTAACTTCACATGCTTTGGGTCAGGCTCTGACCCCTCTCTTCAGGACAATTTGTATCCTTTGCAGAGAGATCATGGGGTAGAGTTATTTTTACCAGGTGCTAATCAAAATGGGCAGCAATGAATTGAAATGGTGTTGTGGTTCCACCTCTCTAGTGAAGTCTCTTTAGGTTCTTGCTTGTGTTTTATTTGTTTTGCTTAAAACAAAACAAAAAGCCATTTTAGTCCTAAACACTTGGCAGGGGCTCCATTTGGATCATCTGATACTATGTTGTCATAGAGCTGTTAAAAAATTACATTTGCTTTCAGTGAATTTCCTCTGCAATGTAATTTCTTGCCTGGGGGACTTGGAAACCTGTCTTCAGACGGTTGAGCAAGAGGAAACCAACCTCACACATCCTGAGAGTTCAGCTCTACATGCTAAACAAATCTTTTTTGTGCTTTCAAAAGTAGTAATTTCTATGTAAAGATCAATCTTTTCACTCATGTATTTGTGTGCAGTTCACTACATGGATAAATGTCTTCCTGAATTTCAGAATTGGTGCTAATTATTGGTATTTTTCTAGGTAACTTGGGAGATCGGGCATGTCTTAGC